TTACTTTACAGGGACTTTAGAGTAAAAACAAATGGGATTCAATTGTCAGTTTTCATCAGATGGCATCGTACAACCCTGAATCAGCTCATAGCCAATGTGACTCTGATCCCAAGGGGAGCTGTATGTATCACTGTCCTGTCTCGTGTAACCATCACTGTCCATGTTGTGACAATGAGTGGGACATGCATTCTAACGTGATGGTGCTCAAGAGTTTAAAGGCTACAGAGGAATAGAAGCTTACTGACTGAGACCCGCTGTTTTGCAGAATCGTGATGCTTTGCATTTGATACCATAGAGCGAATCATAAGCAGTAGCAGCCAATCAATATTCCCTGTATTGATGGTCCCAGAACAGTGATCAGCAGCACAGAATCACTCCCATGATTCTCTGTCAGCCTCCACATGATCTTTTGTTATTGTTTTGATTGAGAGCCCCCTGGCAGCGGGATCTACAAACTGTGTTTAAACACAACATGCTTACAGACACGAGGTGGTCATGTCTGTCAAACACTAAGATATGTATTTATTTTTTGTCAAACTCTATGAAAAAGACACAAAATTGCAGTGAACATTGAAACACTGCACTTTACTGTTCTAGGTGAATAATGTGTTTGTTCACTTTCTCAGATGATGTGCAGCATCAGAACACGATTGTCCTGCAATATATCGAGTGTCACAAATGTATTGCAAATTGTATCGAGAATCGTATCGTATCCTGAGTTACTCTGTGATTCCAACACCTAAAAGTAGCTATTAATGTCCCGACTCCATTTTTTACTGATTTTATTTCTGTTTTTTAAAACATTGTGCTCTTAAAGGTTTTGTTTTCCTAAGTACCAGAGAAGTCGTGATGTTGGCTCTATTGAATACAAGCAGATTGTGTGTGTGAGAGTGTGTGTGTGTGTGTGTGTGTGTGTGTGTGTGTGTGTGTGTGTGTGTGTGACATATATGAAATGCACTGCCCACAGTATACTGCACAACAACAAGCCCTGCTGATAAAGCTAGTGGTTTGATCTCATGCTGAGTCTTGACTGTAGTCCACATCCCTGACTGCAGGGGCAAGCCACCAAATTAGCTAGGTTGCTAGCGTGTGCGTGTGCGTGTGCGTGTGCGTGCGTGCGTGTGTGTGTGTGTGCGTGCGTGTGTGTGTGTGTGTACTTACTGGATACAGAGGATGCAGCGCTGGAGGTGCTGATGATGTTACACAGCACTGACAGCATCAGCAGCATCGTCACATAATAAGACATGTTGAGAGTAAATGCTCTCAGTCAGAGAGACAAAGAGAGACAATGAAGCGGGCTCCTTGTGCTCCCTGTCCGCTGGGCAGTCTGTTGTTCCCGGTGATAAACAGAAGGGATGCTGCTACCTTTCTTTATGAGCAGAGAAAGCAAAAAATGCAATGGCCGTCGTCCCGCTGCGCCCTGAATGTGTTTCCTTTTCTCCTCTTGTTACCCTCTCCTCCAGCGGCTCAGTAGCGGGCTCTGAGCACAAACCTCCGGGTCTCTCCGGTGAACACAGCGGGCCGGGCCTCCAGCTCCTCCAGGCGCATGGTCAGACAGACAGATGCTCTCCAAGCGCTGAACAGCCGGAATAACAAATATACCCCCCCACCCTCGCTCGCATTTGGTATGGTCCTATATTTCCAACAATAAAGGTTCCCCAGGACTGAGGACGTGGCAGAGGGGAGCAGGGGGTACGACGTAAGATAAATGTATAGCTCTGTATTTTTAATTCATGGTAGACCAATGGCTGCTCTGAAATCATTTGCTTTATTTAATTTTTTTTAAAACCATATTGACCATATCTTTATCAGAATCAGATTCAGCTTTATTAGCCATGTATGCTTACACACACACACACACACACACACACACACACACGGAATCTGTCTTCAGTAGCTGAGCTCTATGTACAAAAAGTACAACATTAAATATAAACATATTATAAGCAAAACTACTAATAGGCCTACCAGGACTAACACCGACTAGTATAGGCTATACAATTTATTATAGCCTATAGAAAAATTGTAATATTAAATAAAGATTTATAACATACAATGGGGGAGAAGGTGGGGGGGCAGATATCACCCATGCATTCGTGTATATATTGATACATGGATGGTATCATCTTTGATGCTCCCTCAACTCTTTATGAGTCAATCTAAAGGTCATTTAGATTGCCTCAGAGAGACTTTTTCTAGTGATTTGACTGTCCTTAGTGACATAAGCCTGACATCTAGCACCACTGTTAGGAATCTAGGAGTTCTTTTTGATCAAGATATGTCTTTTAGCTCTCACATCAGTCAAGTTTCAAGAACAGCCTATTTTCACCTTCGTAATATATCCAAGATCTGGAATATCCTGTCGCAAAATGATGCAGAAAAACTAGTTCATGCATTTGTTACCTCCAGACTGGATTATTGTAACTCTCTTTTGTCAGCGTGCTCTGGCAAGTCTCTAAAGACTCTTCAACTGGTCCAGAACGCTGCAGCTCGTGTACTGACCAGAACCAGGAAATGGGACCACATCACTCCTGTCCTGGCTTCTCTGCACTGGCTCCCCATACAGTCTAGAATAGAATTCAAGATCCTTCTTCTCACTTACAAAGCTCTAAATGGCCAGGCACCATCTTATCTTAAGGAGCTACTAGTGCCGTACTGTCCCTCGAGAGCGTTGCGGTCCCGGAGTGCAGGCCTACTGGTGGTACCTACAGCCTCTAAGTGTACTATGGGGGGGTAAAGCCTTTAGTTATCGGGCTCCTCTCCTCTGGAACCGCCTTCCAGCCGGGGTCCGGAAGGCAGACACAGTCTGTATTTTAAGAATAGACTTAAAACTTTCCTTTTTGATAAATCTTACAGTTAGTGCTGGTGTAGACCAGCTCTTAGTTATGCTGCTATAGGCTTAGACTACCGGGGGAACTGGCACCTTGAGCTCCTCTCTCTCTCTCTGTTCATATACAGTACATCATATTACTGCATGTATCTATCTGTAAATCTCAGTCACTAACCACCTACTTTCCTGAGAGCTCTTGAGCTCTCTTAGGCTCCTCAAGATTGTTGGTTGACGGCCTGCCAGAGCAACCCCCACCCCACCCCACCCATACCCCCTCCCCACCGGATCTTTGGTTGACGGCCTGCCAGAACAAACCCCCCCCAACGGATTGTTGATGGACGGTCTGCCTCCCCCCACCCCCTTGCTCCCTATCCCTCTTCCTGCATCTTATCCCATCTCTCCCCCTATCCCTTTCCAAGCTCAGTGCAGTCTAGGCCTGTGAAGGCTGTTTCGTCATGAGCCGGGGATCCAGCCGAAGATTTCTGCCTTTTATTAAGGCAGTTTTTTCTTACCACTGTAACTTTTGCTGCTTTGCTAAAGTGCTCATGATGGATAGGCCGGGTCTTTGTAATATAGCAATAAGTAAGGTCTTTTACCTGCTTTTTGTAACATAACAATGAGTAAGGTCTTCTTACCTGCTCTTTTGTAATGTTAACAGACAAAGAGTAAGGTACTTTACATGCTTTTTGTAAAGTGTCTTGAGATAACACTTGTTATGAGTTGACGCTATACAAATAAATTGAATTGATGTAGCTTCTGCAATATATTTTACAGTTCAGTGTACTGCCCTGTGGAACACCTTTATATGAACCATTAGTTGATGCTGAAAAGCCCCTTTTTGCAAAGAAAATAAATCTGACTTGTGGGACTTTCTCTAAATTCTGATACTACTACTACTTTGTAAACATGTTGTGAACTGTACAGTACATCTATATCTCTAAAAGGTGACTAATGGCTGCAGGAGGAGTTATTAAACAATTATAGCATCATGACACAAACATCAAGAATACAACTCAATGAAATCAAAGACTTTAAGTCGGTCAACACAAGAAGGTTTGCTTAAATTAGAGAGCTAACATAGAAAAGGTGTGGTTGAGTTTTTCAGTGTAATAATAATACATTTTATTTATAAAATGTTGGTTTCAACATGGTCTCAAACCTCATACATTAGTCTGAGACATCAAATATAGAGATGCACTGATTGGGAAAATCAGTCACATCCATTCAATCATTACAGTTTCTAACGGATCAGTCTATTATCATACTTAGCTGCTAACATACAAACTTTTAACATCATTACTAACTATAACTCTATCTTATTGTTGTTGTTGTTGTTGCTCTGTTTGTCTCTCTCGCTCCATCTTTTCAAGTCCAGCACAGTTTGGTCAGATGGCGGTTCCTCATGAGTCTGCTTCTGTTCGAGGTTTCAGCCCGTTAAAAGGAAGCTCATGGTGGACTAATGTTGGGTCTTTGTAGATAATATAACAAAGGTTAGGACCTGCTCTTATTGTAAAGAGTCTTGAGGTACCATTTGAGATGAACTGCCACTACACAAATAAAGATTGATTGATAATCACACTTGTGCTTTCTTGCTGATGTTTAATGAAGTTTGAGAAATGGCACCGTCAATGATGTGACATGCATTCAAATAGTGATCTCATGTTCTTGGCTGGCTTTCAGATACATTAGTACATGTCCAGAGATTAAAGTAATCAGGTATATCTGACCTGCGGTGTAAAAGCGCTTTGAGTAGTCGGAAGACTAGAAAAGCGCTATATAAGCTCAAGTCCATTTAACATTTACCATTACCATTATAATTACTTATAAGTGTAAACTCGTATGTCTTATTTTTTAATTATTTAAAGTCATTCTCAACATTTGAACAATTCAATCATAAAACAAATTAGATGCCATGTCCTCACTTCTGACCTTCAGCATCATTGAATCATTATAATTATTCATATGACTTATAAATATACAACATACTGTTTAGCATGATTACTTTCATAATGTAGCAGTATAATATGTATGATTAGCCTACTAATTAATTTTTGGATTACAATTTTGTAACTGTTTTACTTTGTTGGAGATACATTTGATAATAACAGTTTTTATTTTGAAAAGCAGACTACGGCCGTATTTGACGAGGCTATTATTCTGAAAGTCATTA